GGTCCGGTCCCAAGGCCCGGGGCCGTCAAACGTCTCGACGTCGGCCAGAGGATCCTCCTCGGCGCTGGGCTTGGCAAGGCACACCTTGGGCAAGTAGCTCAAAAAGTTGTTATCCACCCTCGCAAATGCCCTGACCACCCACTCTTCCCACATCGCTTCAACGGACGCCATGCCTACTCGTCGCGCGGGTTAGCGGCAGAGGATCGCGTACTGGACGCCTTCACGGCCGGGGGATTCCGGCGAGATAGGAAAGAGTTGTGGCTCGATGCAGGCGTTGAGCTCCGGTTGGTTAGGAACCTTTGCCCGTCCTTCCCCCTTTATGTAGGAGGATGTCACCATATGTGGCCGGGACGTGGACTTGCTCGGCTCCGCGGTCCAGCATCTTCGCTGGTTGAATAGCGGCGACCTATCGCATTCCGGACGCCGGTGTTGAATCCCGTCCAGTCCACTTTGGACGGGGACGCCGCTTTCGTTGCCTGAAAGCCGTTCGCCAGTGTTGACCCCCGGAACATTGCCGTGCAAAGCTAGAAGATCCTTCCATTGAACAAGGTCCTTAATGCTATGGGGCCTGTGGTAGATGGCAAGAACGTGTGACAAAACGACGGGTAACATATGATCTTGATCTTGTAGCAATGAGGTAATGGGTAAAGAAGAAGAAATAGAATGCTTCAATACTTGAGGAATACCCATTGCAGGAGGAAGAGCTAAACGATAAGCAATTGGCTTGATGAGTTCTATTATCTCAAAAGGACCCAAGAAGAGATGTCTCAATTTTTCAAAAGGTCAACGAGCAAGAGGGTGTACCCATTCGGGATGGAGTCGAAGGTTAATGAAATGGCCAATGTCAAACTCAACATTGGGCCATTTTTTATGAACATATAACTTCATCCTCGCTTTGTGTTGCCCATGATGAGATTCTGATTACTTCAACATAACATCTCAACCTAGCCCAACTATTTAGACCATTGATGAGGCCAATCTCTAGTGAAACAGTAAAGATATATTTTGAGCCCATGATTCACTGTCTCTATTTGGCCATTAGTCTTCAAATGATAAGCACAAGTTCTCCATAGTGTCTTACCTTGATGCTTAAATGGTGCTCATCAAAATAACTCATAAATATATAATCACAATCAATGAGTTTAGGTGTTTTAAAATGGTGTAACTGAACAATACCATAAATGAAAATTTGTGAATAGTAAAGAGATGACAGAGTGGAGAAAATTTTGTGCAGACTTAAGTAATCAACCAACAAAACGATGCCAAAGGCCTTTAATAAAAAATGGCACTAAAGCCATTTGAAAGCAAAGACCTTTAATAAAGTTTATGGAAATATCTTCTCAGATTTTCTCCAAAATGGGTAGACGTTGAAGCAAACCGCCACATATCCTTAGCTGCAAGATTCCATGCCCATCCATTGCACATCATGTCAATGACATAGATAAGTACATACAAAGTCCAAGTGTCTGTCGAGTACCATATTGTTGAATTCATACAAAAGTTCAAGTATAAAGGTGGAGTTCGTTGATAACACCAATCGTCCTTGGTGATATAAGAACCCTTAGTGTAGAGAATATATCTTCGGACTAGTTGAGGATTGTTGCTGCTCTCTTGTCGGACTAAGTCTGAGAGAAAATAGTTCGGGTTGAGAGATTTCAAGGCCATGGGATGTATCGTGATTAGACTTTTGGGACAAGACATTTGCAATATTGCTATCGACATTTGCTTTATAGTTAATCTCAAAGTTAAAACTAACATTTAAGTATTTCTAATAATACATTTTTTTTAAAAAGCTATTTCTAGTAGTCAAGTAAAAATTGTCCTTAATCCAAGAAGATAATATTTTCATTTTAGCGTAGCAAGGACAATGGTCACAAATTCTTGTTTATAAATAGTCTTCAACTAAGTGTGGAAAGATTTTGGCTGAAGAATACAATTGAACATTTTTAGCACAAGGATTAAGTCAATCTCACGATTGAATTTTTCAGCTTTTAATTCAAAAGTTAGAGATAAATTAGGAAGAATTAAGATGAGAGGCAATATTAAGCTGTTATAAGGCAAGATTTGATTACAAGGCTCCAATATTATGCATCCCATTTGAATAGTTGGGTGAGTGGCGATGCCAGAGATCCATAACTCACAATGAAACATGTATAATATCTTGTGGGCCTCAGAAATTTCTACAATTTATGAAGGTTTGTGGGCAAGGACCATTGAAGGACTACGTTTACTTCAACATGATCTACAGTGACTTTTGCCTGCGAACACCTGATATCCTGGAAAACTATGAAATTAAAGTGACGACAGCGGAGAACTATGAAGATTTAGTGCAAATGTTGCTCATGCGTAGAAAGATCCAAACTAGATATAGAGATGTCATCTAGAAATATGAAGATATTCATCGTCCCTCGTCCTTGCGGGTTCAGTGGCTTCCTAACCGTTCTTCGGACGAGGAGTTGGCGGGTTCCTGGCGGGTTCCTGGCGGGTTCCTGGCGGGTTGGCGTTGAGCTGGTTGGCACCGCCGCCGTCTCCCCTGGCGGGCTGCGGGACGACCGGGGTCGCACGGTGAGGCCGGCTCCCCCCGATGTCTCGGAGCGCAGACGCCAATTCAGACGCTACGTGGACAGCGACAGGATGATTTGACAGGATTCAGGAAGCTGAGACCGAACCGTTGGCACGTCGCTCACATCCCAAGAATTGAGAGTATGGATATCAGTACGAGAAAATGTGGCACCAATTAAATCAAGGAGTCGACGGGCCGGGCACCTTCGTTCTGCAACGAGTTTGGTGAACGAACACATTCCGACATGTGTATGACTCTCTCTCTCTCTCTCTAACTTGGTGCTGTTATTATTAGCTCTAAGAGCATGGATGCATCCGTGTTATGGCATGTGTACCTATGCATGCTTCCTCATTTGCTAGGCGTTTAAAAGAGAAACTGAGAGGGAGAAAGAGAGAGAGAGAGAGAGATAGAGAGGTCAACGCTAATAAGCAGCAAAACCTCGCCTTTTTGAACTAACATTGATAGAAAAATACAACTGAAAAAAATAAAAAAGAAAGAAAGAACGAATTCTTGAAAAGGAAAAAAAATCTGCTATAAATTGGAACCCGGGTAGGCCAATCTTTACCTAAATATTTACACGAACCGGAGGGGTTGACTTCACAGAAGAGGAATGGTGAACGAAACAAAAGAGCCAAAAGAATGAGAACCCGTGCGAGCTATGCTCGTGGTGGACAGAGGCCATGGAATCTGAGCTTGGATGAATGCAAAATCGTACGAGAGCCGGAGGAAAGAAGGCTAGGATTATCTTACAAAGGAAAAGAATGGCGGCCGCCGCTGCCTCTGCATCCTCTCTCTCACTCTCTCTCTCTCTCTCTCTCTCTCTCTCTCTCTCTCTCTCTCTGTATTTTCTCCTCGGCCTCCTGCTGGGCATGGACCTGATCTCAGGGCCTCAATGACAGAGAGTCTCTCCATAGGTGACCCACTGCACAAAACTTTCAGGGAATTCTGAGCTTTTGTCCAATTTTCTGGGCGCTCCGAACGGAAGCTTTATGTCCGTTGAGTTCCTTTCCTGCGAAAGCTGTAGCGGATAGAAGTTCAGCCAGCAGACACGACGAGGGTGAGGTCAGAGTAGCTTTCTCTCTCTCTCCTAATAGATCCAAGCTCTGGGTCTCCGAGAAATACGAGGATGAAACCTCGAATGAGATATTATGGAAAGAGCTGGCGGCCCGCCCCCTGTTTCGACGGTCCATACCACCGACTCACCTTAATGCTGGATCCGTCCTCACTCAGAGTCGCCTCCGCAGGTGTGATATTGGTGACATTCTCAGATGAGAGTGTCTCAACAGGCATGTTCATGAGAGAGAACCTACATTCACGGAGGTCAACGCTTAGGCAGTGACCAATCCTCCCCAGACCACTCCAGCTCCCTCCCTCCCTACCTTCTTGACCCAAGTGTTAAGCCCCAGGCTCACCTGTCAAAAGTCTCCTCTTCGCATGAGTTTCCAGAGGATGAGAGGCAATCAAGGTCGAGAAAATTTGAACAGTTCGATGCGTCGGTGCAATTCTCGCCCAAGTAGAAGTGCTTATTGTCGGGAAACAGCTGCCTGCCGACCATGCAGGGGGTGAATCTACAAGACGTCGCCATTAGAACAAGTCATGAACACCAAAGAGAAGACAATTTTTCTAGCAAGATGGTGGAGAAATGACAACCTGACAGAGAAACACCAAAGGGATGAACCTACCGAGAACACATTATATCGTTTCCGCAGGTCGAGATCTCCGTGGTTGAATCAGAGATGCTGTCAGAGAGCACCGAGCCAAGGATCCTCTTCTTTCCACCATTGGTGTTCGACACGGGCGTGTTGCTCTCGCATAGGATATTGCCGTCCGAAAGGGATCTCTTAACAAATGACCTGAAATGACAAGTCAAGTATTCACGTTTCAGTATGAAAAATTCGAACGCGAAGCAGTCGATAGCAATGCAAGGTGCCCATTGGTTTCATCTCCATTCTCTCCTCCATCGACAAACAGAAAGATTGGATCTTTCTCTCTGAAATAATTTGTGACATAGTCACCGATGGATGATGCGATATCCCATGTGATTTTCTCAGGACAAAAAGGAAGAGGCTACTGGCGAATTCACAATGCACAGTGGGCACAGTAGATCACCAAAAGGATTTTATGGAAATGTTCGTTCAATTTCCACGGTGTAATATATATATATATATATTCATATATTCGTACACAAAATTCTGAATACAAAAGTATTATTACCATGAATTTTCGTCGGGAAATCCTCGCCTCCCTACGTTGTAATACTGGTCAGAGTCCAGCTCCCAGAGGGCAGGTTTTCCCGGTTGAGGCTGGAAGTGCCCCAGAAACCTGCATGGACATGAAGCGAGCTCTCAACGAAATCCCAAGCTTTAGAAGCAAATCAGATCGATTTGGCGTTATCCGCTGAGTGAAAATCAGATTCATTGCACAAGGAAACGAAATCTTACACATTAATTGCATCTTGCTTCTCAGCATCCATGTAGGCATTGCTGTAATACCGTTGCAGCGTCCTGAAGAACTCCTGAGACTGGGTGGCCGCCTTCCATTGGCCTCTTCTTTCACAGAATATCTGGGCATCAGAAGTTATGAGGATTGAAGTTGTTGCACAATTGAGCTTTGAGGAAGGAGATCGACTTCCCGCAGCCAAATTTCTAAGATATTCAAGATTCAGATGATGAACCTTGAAAGCTCAAACAAGGTAATAACCATCATTTGATGTTATTTCAAGTAAATAAGAATGCATAAATCTGAATAAACTCAATACAGAATAGTCTGAAGAACCAGAGCTTGCTGATTGTGATTAGATGCAGGCATCTCTAATCGATACCCTTGGAAGCCAAAGACAGTGCAACAACAAAGGCGGCTTAGGCTGAAGCACACCAGTTGGGCCAATTGCTGCAATAGATCCTTAGCCTCTGTTTCCTGAAGTTCCGCGCTAAAGATCAAACTTCTGTCAATTTTCGGATGACAGCTTGAGGTTTAGATCCATCTTTTAGTGTTAATGGAACAGCTTTTATTAAAAAAATACCCATAGTCATCAGAAATCTCTGGGTTTTTTTTTTTTCAAGTCCAAAGAACCATGTATCTGAATGGCTACAAGGCATTTCCAACTATTTCACACTACGAATTTAATCCAAATAACAAAAGATACACAGCACTGAATATTTTAAATATGACATTCTCAATGGTTATCTCAGTTTAATCCAACCCAAGACGCTAGAAATAACTCTCCAAAAATGCGTAAAGCAATTTTGTATGCACTAAACGAACATTCTGAAGAGCATAACCGAGAGAAATGAACGGTTTGGAAAAGAAAAAAAAACAAAATGGCACAATATTCAACCAGAATATCGTATAGGCGTTAGCAGCTATTCCTCTCTAAAGCATGAACATCCCACACTAACTAGCCTAGCAGGAATCACGGTTGGTTAAGTAACAAAGGAAAGGTCGACGTTTGAACCTATTGGAAAGAAGTTCAAGCAAATTGCCACAAACATGCTTCAGGGTGATGAAGACCTTTGAACGAAAGATCAGGAAAGTTGCCTCAGCTATTTTTGTGAAAAACAGAGGAGAACCATCACACAACCCCGTGGTTTTGAATTCACGGATCTAATTTCATTTACGAAGAGAAAGCAAATGCAATCTTGCCCACTTTAACATTATAAATTAAGAGCTGCATGCTCAGTTAAACAGTCCAGACAAGTAAAAACGAAGGGGACAATTTGGCAATGGCAAGAACACCAAAGAATTTAACAGTCAACAGCCAAACTCAACGAGAAAATTCATCTTTGAATCATCATTATGCAAATAAAAGAGTTCATCAAGACAATTTACCTTGTTGTGAGCCGCAGAACCGCCATACTGCAGTGCAAGCGTATCACCCATTGTCTCATAACATCTCATCAAGTCGTCGGCCAGAGGTGCATCTAGATCAACCTTTGGTTCATCCATGAAACCAAGTGCATGAAGCTGACGTCCAAGTGCAGCTAAGCCAAATGCATATTGAGCCACATTTGTGCGGTCCAAGCAGTCTATGCAGTTGGTACGAAGGACACCCTTCTGGAAAAGCGGCAGCTTGACGGAAACGCTCTCATTATGTCCTCTGTTATGGTCCTCAACTTCAGTTCTTGAGATATCAACATCAACTGTGCCATTGCATTTCAGACTCTCTGATGGCCAATTATTGCCGTCCTCCTTCCTGCGTCAAAAAAGGCACAAGTAATGCCCAGATCAAATTATTTTATGTGCAAATAGTGGAACAGCAGATATGCGGCCAGACACGTTATATGACACCACCAAAGGAACAAAACACAGTCAAAATATGCCTCAAGGCACGCCAAGTGAGAAATGCAGCAGTCTTGATAGCCTCATGCTTCGAAAATCTTCACGAATAAGAAAATTTGGACAATCACGAGCATTGGATCTGCACTGAAGGCCTCAAAAAATCATTTTTGTCAATTATTTTTCAGTGGAGAGGGCATTCCATCTGATCATAAAAAGGAGAGGTGGACTCTTTTGAAAAAAAAAAAAAACCCTAAGAATGAGATTGATGTATCGAAGACCTAAAGCCATTTAAAACACAAATATCGTACCATAAATGTTTCAGCATCGACAGCCAAAAGCAAAGAGTCTGTTGTTGGAAATAGCCATCTTGATGAAAACTCAGGATTGGTGGGGGGTTTGGGAGATGAGCAAGGAATACGCTTGGCAAATGAGAGAGGAAGATTCAAGTGATGCTCATGCGACAAGCAAACAGAATGGAGTTACGGCATCTCCCTCTCACTAAGGTAAGGTCGACAGGAGCACGATAAGCGCACAAGAAAGCTAATGCATGTAAGCATCACATAAGCTAATGCATGAAATTTCACTCAAGCCTTTTCCCTATTTCAGATATTATTCAACATTAGCATCTTAAAAAAAGCTAGAGCTTTGATGGGTGAAAACTAGGATGGCACATTCTTTAATAGTTCAGATATCTTCTATGTTTGAAACAATACTATAGCCATTGAGTTTTAACATACTTATTCCCAATTATCGATTTCATCTTGACCAATATGAATTCGTTTCCTCAACATAAGGTGTTAAATATGAAACAAAGTTAATTTCAAATTATTACAAATCGATTATAAGTCCTCAAAAATTACTTCAAATTTTCATATCAATATTCAACATAATTACTTAGGTAACATAAGACATTCCAAATGTGTTTTCAATTTAAATTCAAAATAATCAAAAATATCATAAAAGTCTCATAAACATCTGTTTAATGAATTATGTATAAAAAATTATCTAAAATGAGACTTTTAAATCAAGAACATCTAGTATACTCTTTAAACCTGAAGATTAAACTTCACTTCAAATATTAACATAAAATTTAGTGACCAAGTCTTTACTTTTTGCTAGAACTATTTTATCATAATTATTGGGACTTTCTATAGTATTAAATAATGTAATGATTTTTTAACTATCATGTGGAAAATTGATAACATTATTATGTAATCTCCATTCATTTTTAATTGTTTTATTTCAAATTGATATAAAAAATAAAGCCTGTGAAAATAATTACATCTTTTTTTTGTATTTCTATCAACATAAACATTTTGATATATTTGATTGCCCTTGATACATCATCAACCACTCTTAGTGTTTTGAATCAAGGGAAGAATTACCTTGACACCTTCGTTTCCTATGAGTATATATCTGTTCGATAGTAGTATCGGACTCCCAACCCACTAGGCCCCATTATCTATCTATCTCTCTCTCTCATCTCTCCTCTCTCCTATATAGGAGTCATGTATTGTATCTTGAAGCTACATGGATTTCAATATTTTTCCCTCTCATCTCAACATAGTATCAGACCCTTAGGTATCCCTCGTCGTCCTCCTAGCCTCAAGTGCACTGCCCATCTCTAGTGCACTGCTCTTTTCCTCAGGCGGCTCTTCAACATCACTACTCTTCCCTCTTTTGACGCCGTCATCTCTGCCATCACTTTTCTTCTCCTTTTGGCGCCACCAATGATCTACAAAGTCATTATTTTTAACTTTGTCAAGTGACAATTATTACAGATGATTTATTAATCTACTATATTGATTTCTAAACTTCACAAGAAGATCTAAAGATTACCTATATTGTCTCTATCTAAAGAGAGACTTTAAGGTTATGAACATTATACGATAGTTTTCTCAAATTTTCAAGATTCTAACACATCTGACATGACTTAGTCGTTGTATATTAAATCATGTAAATATTAAATTTATAAAACTAGAAAATATAAATTTTAAGATATTTAGAAATATTTTTGAACAAATATATCAATTATAATTCAATAAAACTTCCAAAAAATAGCGATAATTTTCCAAGTCAATCATAGGGATGAATATAATATCTAGTAATTATTCAGAATGTTTGTCAATGAATACAATTTTCTATGAATTTTATACTAAGAAATGAAAAAGAAATATATTTAAAATTCACAAAAAGGGGAAATAAGGGTGCAGATGTCAGAATGACGTCAGCGCCCAACAAATGCGAATCGAGTAGAAATAGAGTTCCACCTAACGATTCTTACATAAGTGATTACAGATAATTTAATTAATCAAATTAAGATCTGTAAAAGCTAGAAGAATCGTAATTGAACAAAGTATATTTTGGTAAATTAAAATCACACAAATTATCACTAAATGAAGCGTAAAGTAAGTTGAAAGCAAGAAAACAGAGTTCTAGCATTGTGACGGCAATGGGTCGGCGATGCACTAGAATTCTAAGCATTTGAGAGGATCATCATATAGTGTCCACAACCTCAAAGGCTCTCCTTGGACAAAGACGATGTGGGCAATCTCTAGATCTCCTTGCGAAGTCTAGAGATTAATGAAATGGGTCATCGAATCATCTCTGGTGGCTGTCACCCGACAGAGTGGAAAAACAACGACTTTACAGCTCTCCAGCGGTTGTCACTTGACGGAATGGAGCCGGATGGAGGTGGGGCGCATGTCAAGGAGCTTCATCCTCAGGTCCGCACAACAAGAGGAGGCTTCATCGCATTTGGTACGCTCTCAAGAGGTGGCGACTCATATCTTGGTAGATCGTCCTCTTCCCGACGACGGCTTGTTCGTCAATCAATTGGAGATGATTTCCTCGATAGATTTGTGATCTTTTTATCGCGAATCATTCAGTAATTTTAGTAGCAATGCTCTGTGAATCGCGTTGATGAGATTTTCGCTGATGATCTAGTAATTCTTGTTGCTTAATGCTTCACCGACAACCTACAGGAAAGTTACAATAATCAGATAAAAATATATAACTTTTGACTCTAGGAGGATTCGAACCCGCCCCGGTTGCCCGCCCTTTTTGAGAAAGGTGTGATGCGAATTTAGTCCCACATCAGTTGTGCGCCAATTTTTCGGGTGAATATATACTAATGTTACATTTCTAAGCAAGTCCCTTCCCTCACGTGTAGGACCACTCCTTGCCCCACAACTAGCTGGCCACTGGTGACATGGAAGGGGAGTGGTGCACACGTGCCCTTATCGATTCAAGCCGCTCAAGCCTTTGCTCGCAGTTACTCCCTAACTAAGCTTCCGACCCACTTGAGGGCTCGGTTGGCTGGCGGGTCCCCCTCATTTTATCTTATTTTTAGTTTTTATTTCTTTTTCTTCATTTATCACAAAAGCAAGATTATAAAAATCATATAAATTCGTGTAAAATCACATAATTACCCAAAAAATTATATTAATCAACTGAAAACCACTTTTCACACTTTCACATAAATATAAGTCTATTTATCTTGAGTTAAGGCTAAAACTATATTATTTACTAATTATTAACTCATAATAATGAAGACTTATCAACATCACTATTACAATCTCGAAACTTTGTTCTACTATTTTTCAACTAATTTAATTTTCACCATCATTTTCTTGACTTTAAAAAGAAATCTAACAAATGTCTAAGTCATCCATGTCTAAGGAGAGCCTTTGAGGTTGTAGACATCGTTCAATAATCCTTATGAACATATAGGATTCTAATGATCGTTGTCACAAGGCTAGAACTTTGTCATTTCTACTTCCAACTTAATTTTGACTTCATTTAGTGACACTTGATGTGATTTGAAGTCTCTAAAATATTATTCATTCATTCAATTACGATTCTTTTGACTTTTATATATCTTAATTTGACTAATTAATTTGTTTGTAATCGCTTATGTAAAGATTGTCAGGTGGAACTCTATTTTTGCTTGATTTGTATTCGTTGAGGCACTGATATCATCTTGACATTTGCACCCTTTTCAAAAAAATTAGATATATTTTATCTTCATTATTGAGTCTAAAAGCCATTAAATTATTTATAGAAAATTTTGAAATATTATCCGATATTATATTACATCTTATGATCAACTTAGAAATTATCCACTATTTTTAAAAACTTTTATCAAATCATAATTGATTTATTTGTCCTAAAATACTTTTAAAAATCTAAAAATTGATATTTTCTAGTTTTATAAATTTTAAGTTTACATGATTTATTATATAGCTATTGAGTCACGTCAAGGCCTAACTAAGTATGTCTTTATACTCATTGGTTTATAGTTGTAGAGTCATATCACCATTAAAAGATGATGTGAAGCTAAAAGCACTTGCTAGAACCAAATTACTAATATTTATTCACCTAAAGTGATCAATATGTTGTAGTTGATAAAGCAGCTTAAATGCACAAATGTAGCATACATTCAGGCTCTTAGAGTTGTGAATCTAGTGTAGACAAGCTGATTTCAAGTAATTAGTAGTTATATGATTTGTAGATAATAGAACCTAAAGAAGATGCTTCTAAATATCATAGTAGCTAAGTGGACTAAGCAACTATAAATTATGTGACTCTTAGTTAATCACCCTAATGAACTATAGAGAGTCTATTTACTTGAATGGTGGTCCTCATCAATTGCATTAGAAAAGAAAATTATTAATGGAATCCTCAAAAAACATTCTTATATTTTTGGCCTAATAAATTCAACTAAATATAATTAAATTCTTATACCATGTTTCCTTTCATGTGAGCTTCTCTCCAGAGGGTTTCTATCTGAAACTTTACTCATGCTTATTTAATATGACCTCGTGACCAAGTATAACCTATTAGTCAAGGAATTATGCACCACTCTAACACTCATTAAGAATTACTACATTGTAATAATGGAATGAAAGCTATCAAATGGATGTCTTTAACATGGTGACTAGTGAACAACAAATGGAACATAGCAAACATTTCATTGATAAAAGAAAATTCAAAATTCAAATAGAGAACAATGAATAGATGACCAACCAATTAATAAATAACTAATTTAAGAGTCCAAGAACACCTATCTCATGATGATTTCTACA